GCCCCGCCCCGTACCCCGGCCGGCCCAGCCCGGCCGGCACCGCCGCCGCTCACTCACTTTGGCCTCCACCAGCTCCGCCGCCATCTTGGCCACCAGCGTCCCCCGCGCCGGGAGCCCCCAGCCGTCGCGTCACGTGACCGCCCGCCACTCGTGGGCGGGGCCGTCGCCAGGGCCAATTAGCTCCGGCGTGCGCTCCTCCCCCGGCTCGCGCGGTGGCGTACAGCGCAGGCGTGCGCGGTCGCCGCCCGAGGTTCGAGCCAATCAGAGTCGCTAAATACCGACCCCCTCCACCACGACTACACTTATTCCGCTCGCGACGGCCACGCCCACTCCTGGCGGTGTCTGGCCTCTTAAAGAAGCACGAGTTCCGCACAGGTGGGGGCGCGCGCTGGGTCGCGTCTGGGGAACTAAAGGGAGGTGACGGCGACAACAATGCCGCCAGGTGTCGCGGCTTTCTGCGCGCGGCGGCCGCCAGGTGCGTGCTCGAACTGCTTGGAGAGGCGGCGGCGGAGAAAAGGACGGTTGCTCAACCGCAGGGAACACCAGCGCGTGCAGAGCGGCGTTTGCACACTCGGCGGCCCCGATGCCCCGCGCGCTGCACATCCGGGTCCTGGCGTGCACGTGGGGCGCGGGCTCTGCACCCCTAGGCTGGCCCGGGTGGGTAAGGGCGGGACGCCGCCTCCCTGACTCCGCGAAGGTCAGGCAGCCCTCACTTAAACGCGGGCGACTCTGTCCCTCTATTTCTGCGTCCTCACCCACGGTGAATCCTGGGAATCTGCTGGCCGGGACCTCAGTCGCTCTAACACTGTCCATGGCTCCCCAGTACCCACCAGAATCGGGACGCAAACTTTCTTAAGACAGAAGCACAAAATGCAGGGACAACATGTATATTCTAGGGCTGGGGGTTTAGCTCAGTGGCACCGCGCCTGCGTGATAAGCGTCAGGTCCTGAGTTGGATTCCCAGTACCAAAAAAAAGTATGTCCCAGGGCTCATCTCCTGGGATGATACATCTAAGCAAGTATTTAAAGAGAACGTAAAAAGAAAAAAGTAGGGGCTGGGGATTTAGCTCAGCGGCAAAAGCGCCTGCCTGGCAAGC